TTGCTGAGTTATTACTGGAAATACTTTGTGTAAGAGTCTTAGTATACATTTTATCTAGAAGGTTCCCTAATTCTCTACGCAGAAAAAGTCATCAAGTAAAAAAGCCAGCGATCTCTCGAAGTCTTCTCAAAAGTTTTAATACTTCACAATAATGAGAAGCCATATGCTGAAGGAGAAATATTAATAGAAAATGCTGTCTTTCAGATGCTCACTGAATCAATTGAAGACAGTTGACACATCTTTAGTAAGCTGTGTATGAATCTTAGCTCATTAACCACTCCTGTATTATGTATGCTGAATCCAATTCCTAATATGACACATCGATAAACCAGATCTGAAAAGGTGTCATTTCGATTTTAATGTATCCAATTGTATTTTTAGATGTTCCACCACTTAGAAGTGTTAGTGTTATTTCCTGATTTTACAAGCTATGGAAGAGTGGGTGCAGTTTTGATTTGAATGGGAGACCACTGCTTTCTTATAACCCTTTACAAAGATTTTATCGTGATTATGTTGCAAGAAAAATAAACTGTTCCTCCTTAATCATAGTTCAGCCCTCTCCAAATCATGCAGTTCCCCCTCCAAAACTTAAGTATAACTGAGCCACAAGTATTCATGTACCACTATCCAGTTGTCCAGTTCCTCAAGTGTGAAAAATTGAGAAAAAGAGAAAAATAGTTCTATAAAATATTCTTCATGTCAGACGGTTCTTATAGGTAGATGTGAGAACCACCACGTACTTTTAAAAGGATTCTTATAAATAACTGTTCACCAATCTGAGCATCAACCTCTCAGCCTATCACAAAGTATTTAGTGTGTTGTGTAATGCCAGGCTCCCATAGCAACACCAACTCAGTTCAACTATCAGCCACTACACTTTGAACACACACTGAAGCCAGACAGTATTCTAATTGCTTGAAGTAGAAGGTGAGCCACACCCAATTTGGGCTTTAAAAAAGATGAGGGGGGAAAAGGGTGAACGTTTATGGAGTACGGACTTCTCACTAGTCATTGTGCTAGGTGCGTTACATCTTATTTTATTTAATTCATAGAGCTATCCTTTTAGATGTTATTCCAAGAGAGTAAGCAACTTGCCCAAGACTACTCAGCTAATAAAGAGCTGGTACAGAATTCAAACCAAAGTCCATTTCAATTACATGTTCATGCCTTTCACTTGTTCACTCATTGTTTCTTCCTTCATTTAACCCACTGTATTCCAGTATAAGTATTGCCTAACTTTACAGGAAAATTCCCAGATTAATGGAAACATGTGACATTTAGACAGTGGAAATACAGTCTAAAGTGTTGTATAAGTAGAATGTTCCAAAGCAATGAAACACAGAAGAGGGACCATTGACTTTGGCTAGGGAAGTTCATACATCTTTTACCTGGTAGCTTAACAGACTCACTCAAAGTTTTATTTTCTACCCAAGCACCATAACAGTGGCCTTGCAAATTTAAATATTTCCAATTAAGCAACTCCACAACCTTTCCTAAACTCACCCCACCTGGATCATATGTTTCCTAAAACTGGACTTTGCTGCCTACTACCATTAAGACCACTCTCCACTTACTGTCTATCAAACTTAATTCGTGGCTGCTACTTCTGTAGACCTCAATGTCAACAGATTCATTTTTGGAGACTGACATTGATGTGGTCATTACTATGATCAGAGATTTCAGTGAAGTTAGAAAGAGTTTTCTTCCCCTCCTCTCCCCTCTCTTCATCTCCTTGGCCCTTCCCATCATGCTGTATTACTCTGTGTCACTTATAGACACCTCTCTTGAGGTACTTAGAATATGTTTCAAGGACTAAGCTGCAGTTCATTCAAATCTTCAATAGTTGCTTCAAATGCATTCCTCTACAATAACAATAAACAAATATTATGGGGCAGAAACTACATACAGCAACCATCTCCTATTTCAGGGTGAGCTTTCTATCTGACCAAAAACACTCTTGGAGAATTCCAAGGCGGGAGTTTTGGTGGTGCAGTGGTTAAGCTCTTGGCTGCTAACTGAAAGGTCAGTGGTTCAAACCCACCACCTACTCCACGGGAGACAGATGTGGCAGTCTGCTTCAGCCTTGGAAACCCTGTGGGTCAGTTCTACTCTGTCCTGCAGGGTCACACGGAGTCGGAATCTACTCAACAGTAACGAGTTTGGTGGAGTTTTTGATTTTGGTTATTTGCCCCCTAGTTTTGTTAAAACAATTCAGGTATCCTCAATCCTAACATCATCTTTGCTGTTTAAACCAAGTGATTCACAAAATCCTCAGGTAAATTACACTCCTACCATGCCAAAGTATGTAGAATGTATCCATATGTATGTATGCGTACATATATATCCATATGTATGTGTGTGCCATATGTGTGTATACATGAATATGTGTGTGTGTATGAATATATGTGTAATCATTGGTGTGTGGCATTAACTTCAGATGCTTAGATGCAAGTTATCCATGGCACCCCTGACCTGGGCATCCTGTTCCAATTTCCTTCTCCTCTTTATTGACCTGTCTTACATCTTTTTATGAGTTTCTGGTGTCCATAGGTTCCAGTTGGTCCTATAAAGTACCATATTTTCCTACCATCATTAATCAACAAGGGAGTTTTCAACCCCTTTGACAGAAAAGATTAGATCTGCTGTTGGCAATGATGTTGCAACTGCCTTTTCTTTTTTCTCTAACTCTCCCCTTTGTCTCTTTCATTTGCAGCTGTCCAATCCATATTATTTTGAAACTCTTCTAAGAATAACTGCAATTTTGAATGCTTTGACTGTGGGAGGCATTATTTATAGGTCTTTGTGGTTTTAGGTGGAAAAGAAAAGCTTCCAAGCAGAGCTCTACTAGGAAGACTGCCCCCATCCCACTTTAGCCAAATACCATCTTCTGCACAATATTTTCCTATAATTCCTAATAAAAAGGTTTTTTTTCAACAATGTATTGCAAATGCTTCCTGATTCTGAACTCTTTCTTATCCTACTCTATGAGGTTTACATACTTCATAGAAGTATGACGTTATGAATTGGGCTTTCTGAAGTACATCGTATTAGGACCTGTGTTTGGCCTTAGTATCAGAGACCCACCCTCAAAGGCTTCAGAACACAAGGTCTTATTTTTTTATGTGAAAGAAACCCAGAGGCAGGCAGTATCCAAGGCTGGTCTGACTACAGCATCAAGGAAGCTCCTTCCAGCTTCTGCGTAGCCTCACTTCTCAAGGTCATATCATGGTACAGCCATTGCATGTACATTGTAGGAAGCAGAAAGGCTAAAGAGCTGAATCAGCTTCCTTTACACAGCCTCACCAGCAGCCCCACATAACTCTTCTGGTGAAGAGACTTAATGAGACTGAAGTCTCATTGCCCAGATTTGGTCACATGGCCACACCAGCTGCCAGGGAGGCTGGGAAATGTACGTCTTCAGCTGGGTATATTGCCACCTCCTTAACAATGGGATTGTCTTGAGAAGGATAAAGAGGATGGATACTGAGTTGTTGTCTGCCTTACATATCATTCTCTTATATGTCATCTTTTCCAACAGTGGCCTCTTTAGACTGATCAGGAGCTCTGTGTCAGAAGTTAGACACAAAACATGGGAAAGAAAGATACCTAAGTCAGTGTATCTAATGTGTTTAAATTAAATAAACAATTAAACTTCTACACCAAAAACAAAACCTGTTGCTGTCGAGTCTATTCTGACTCACGGAGACCCTACAGGACAGAGTAGAACTGTCCTATAGGGTTTCCAAGGCTGTAATCTTTATGGGAGCAAATTGACACATCTTTCGCCCGTGGAGTGGCTGGTGGGTTCGAACTGCTGGCCTTTCTATTAGTAGCCGAGCACTTTAACCACTGCACCACCAGAGCGCCTCTCTAGATGGTTAGCACCTGTTCAAACTATGATAAGTTGAATTCCTTAGTGTACTAAGTACCTCGATTTTTATTATGTCATCCATGGTTGTAAAGGAAAAAAATAAAGTGAGGGAAAGCAGTGTATGTACTATGTAGTTTTGAAGAACCTCCTATGTTTTAATTGTATGTGACCAGGTATTATGCTATTTAAAATTTAGTTTATTTTTCTTTTCACTCCCTTATTTTTATAGCAAAAATAAAATATGTTAGAAGGGATAGAAATGGAAATAATATTAGAAATAATTAAGAAGTAGATTCTTTAATCGCCCACAAAATCACTCAGCAACAGAATACACTAGTTATACTTAATCACACTGGGTCCTTATGTATACGTTTCCTATGCTTGCTGTAACAAATGCCCATAAACTTAATGACTTAAAAGTATGTGAATTTATTATCTTACAGTTCTGGAAGTCAGAAATTCAAAATCAGTTTCACTGGGTAAAAATCCAGGTGCCGGCAGCCCTGTGTTCCTTCTGGAGGCTCTGTTTCCTGCCTTTTCCAGCCTTCGGAGGCCATTCTCACTGTTTGACCAGTGGCCCAACATCACATAGCCTTTTCTCCCACAGCGCCCATTGTCACACTGCCATCTCTCTGACTCTGACCTTCCTACTTCCCTCTTATAAGGACCCTTGTGATTATTTTGGGCCCACTTGGATAATCCAGGATAATCTTTCTATCTCAAAATTCTTAATTTAATCACATCTGGAAGGTCCCTTTTGCCATAGAAGCTAACATCTTCACAGATTCCTAGGATTAGAACATGGGCCTCTTTGAGAGGCCATTATTCACTCCACCACACCTTGTAAAATCAGAAAACATGTAAGAAAACCTATCTAATACCTGAGCTTAACAGAAAGATCATGTTAAGATCACACCATTGCTTCTTTCATGTTACCGTGATCTACTTCAGAGTCAAAATACAGAAACCGCACGAGAACTATGTTAAGTACACCTATTCCGTTTGGCTGTTGATTGGGACTTTCAGTTGATAAATCCTATCCACAATTTTTCTAAGAAAATTTTCTCATGTGTCTATGAAATCTCATTCTTTCCTAACTTTCCTTCTTAATTTTTTTTTTTTTTCCCAGAAAAGCAAGACAACAATGTAAGAATTGAAACTATAAAGTCTCTGGTCCAAAAACTCCCTCCACCAAATCGTGACACCATGAAAATCCTCTTCAGACATCTAACTAAGTAAGTTGTAAAGGTTTCTGAATGTGTCATCTTATTATCATTTTCTAAATGAACAGTATTTAATTTCAGATCTTTATGACAAGAGTTTCTAAATGCATCTATCTCAGATTTCCCCCTCTAGCTGATCTAAGTCTTCCCTGAAGATGCTGGAGAATGTACTAGAGTTAGGAAGGAGAACCTACAAAAGGAAATTCTGAAAGAATTTATTTTTCCTGGCCTTTACAACAAGTAAATGTTTGTTAATTGACTGTCTTAACCCTTGCCAGAGCCCTGGGATGCACCATCTTTACCTTGTTATCTAGTATAATGGAAAGAACATGAAATGATTCAAATATGAGTTAAAAACCCAGCCCCACCACATACCAAGTGCTGTGACCACAAATAAGTTACTTAAACTCTCTGAAACTCAATATCCTCATCTGTAAAACATTGAATCAGGTTGATAACATGCTATCCATGCAAACTGCTAAGTACTCCAGGCAGAAAGGAAAAAAAAAAAAAAAAGGAAGTGTAAAAACCCAGAAGCCTGAAAGAGCTTGATTTATTTGAAAAGCAGAAGTTTGGCCAGTATGGCTAGCGCATAGTGAGCAAGGGGTATGGTGGTAGAAACTGAGGTCCCAAACGTTGTATCGGTGTCACATCACAAAAGTCCTTGTGGGCCATGGTGAGAGATTTGGATTCTATTCCAAATATAATGAAGAAACACTGAAGAGTGTCAAATTAGATGAGTGTAAAAGATCATTCTGGCTGTCGTGCGCAGAATGGATTGTAGACAGTGAAAGCAGGGAGACCTACTTATTAACAGGCAACTGTAGTAGTTCAGGAGCCCTGGTGGCACAGTGGTTAAGAGCTCGGCTGCTAACCGAAAGATCAGCAGTTTGAATCCACCAGCTGCTCCTTGGAAACCCTATGGGGCAGTTCTACCTGTCCTATAGGGTCACTATGAGCCGGAATCAACTTGACGGCAATGGGTTTGGTAGTAGTTTAAGCAAGAGATAATGTGGCTTGAGTGGAGCGCGCAGAGAAGTGAATGGAGATAGTTCAGAGGTGGATCAGGTTAGATTTGCTGATGGTTAGGATGTGGTGAGTAAGGGAAAGGAGAAATCAAGTGTGCTTCTCAGAGTTTGGCTTGAGCAAGTGGAGAATTGGTAGTGCCAGTGGGTAAGACTCTGGTAGGGGCAGGTGTGAGAACTCCATTTTGTACATGTTAATTTTGAAATGACTGATACTCATTTGCCTTCTGTTAACACCTTCTTAAGATAAGGCAGAGTGCAAGACAAGTGATGAGATCTTAGCTTTCACCATATAGATGTGTTGAAGCCTGACAGAGTTTCAAATAGTTTGGAAAGTTTTGCTTTCTTAGGTTAAATTCTCTTAATTACCTTAATCACCCATTCTTTGGGATGAGTCATTCTTACAGATTGTTTAGCTAATCCATCACATGATTTTTATTTGTAAAAGTAATACCTGCCAGTTGCAAAAATAAAATTTAAACAACAGTGGTATATACATTAACATTAAAAGGTTAAATTTGCCTACCAGCCACTCAGCCTGCTGAGCAGAAGTAAATAACATTTCGATATATATCTTTCTAGACCTGTTTCTGAACACGTGCAAACATTTGTGTGTATGTTTGCTTCTTGTGTTTGAAGTACTTCATACTGCACATGTTGTTCTGCGACTGTTTTGTAACCTGTGAACAGTCTTCTATTTCATTAAACAGACACATCTCATTCTTTCTGATGATGGTATCTCAGTTACCTAGTGCTGCTATAACACAGATAGCACAAGTGGGTGGCTTTAAGGAATAGAAATCTATTTTCTCACAGTTCTGGAGGCTCAAAGTCCAAATCAGGGTCTTGGCCATGTCAATTCCTTTCTTGATAGCCCTGGACATTCCTTTGTTCCTTTTTTATTTCTTGATTTTTAGACAATCCTCACATGGTGTCTCTCTTCCTCCATGTGTGTATATTCTCTATGTATATTCTGGTCTTTTTATAACTCAGAAGTGATTAGGCTTAGGATCCACCCCCATACTGGTGTGACCTCATTAATGTAACCAAAGAAAACCCCTATTTCCAAACAGGGTCATATTTACAAGCACGGGGATTAGGATTTCAGCACGTATTTTGGGAGACCACAGTTCATCCCTAACATATGGCATAGTATAAATAGATAGATGGCCATGGTATAGATAGTCCATAATTTGCCCAGCTAGTCATTGCATCAGGGAACATGTTTTAATCTAATTCATAATGTTTGTTCTTCTCTAATTTTATTCTCAGAGGGCAGCCTTGTCTCAAAGTTCAGAACATCCTTTATTGTTAGAATGTCCCTTCTCGTCACTACCACATACTGGCTACAGTAGGAAGTCAAGTATGGTTCAGTGAAAGGATCTTGGGCTTAGAGTAAAAGAGAGAGAGACAGAAGGAAATCTAGAGTCAAATCCTTGTCTCATACTTTACTGCCGTTATGATCTTTGGCAAACAAAATCAGATTAAATAATACCAACCATATCCTGTGGTTATGATTATTAAATGAGATAATACATATAAAATGCCTGGACAAGGTAAGCATTTCTCAAATGTTAATTCTTTTCCCTTAGGATCCCGACACACCATGAAATGAGTTTCAAGTTACAAGTAAATACTGGAGTGCTTATCTCAGTAACTTTAACTGAACCAAGTCATAAAACAATTAGAAAAGTATACTCTTTAATGCTACGTAATACCTGGTCTTGGGGTTCTTGAGACATATCTATTTCTTAATCTTAATTATTGCTTTTTTTTTTCAACTGAAAGAACAGCTATAAAATGAAGAATCTAAGAGCTCAGCTAAATTCTCCACCTAAAAACGAATAAATAAATAAAACACCCAGATGAGAATCCATCCAGTTAAAAACCTATGAAGGATGGGAATCTCCCGTATTACACAATCCCAGCATTAACGATTAATATCTGATTATGTTTCTTATATCTAAATAAATTCCCTAATTTTGCCAGAACACTTATTTCATTCTGTAGAGATGGAAATAGATGTTTAAAAAATAAGATTTAAAATCAGATTATTATATCACCTTCACAGCATTCATTTTATAAGGCTTCTTATATTGATAGGTAGAAAAAGTGTTATTTTCCAGCCACCAAACTTTCCTGGGTGGTGTGACCATATTCCATCCTGCACCGATTTATAAACTGGGTTTAATTATGCACAAGTGTGTGCACACGATTATATCTTGTTAAGCATTTCTTGCTAAGTTTTTGATAAACAGCCAATCGTGGCATGTCATCAAAGCCTGAGAAGACTAAATAAGAAGATTGTTTAACGAGAATTTAAATACATTCATGTTTGAAAGAATCATTAGAATGTTTTCCTTAGTCTTGATGCATTTGGTAGTTCTTCAGAAAATCTACCATCAACACTTGTATGTAGTGTTTATTCAAAATTGTTGTAAATATATATATATATTTTCAAGTTTGTTTAGTGAGGGTCAGGGAACATAATGAAGTACTGCAAATTCCACTTGACCTACGTACTCCACAGCCAACAGAATAGAACTCCATTTTTGCAGAGCTCTGAGTTAAACTCTTTTCCTCAAAACAGAGCAGCTACAAACTGAGGAAGCTTGCACAATCGGACTACAAAGTGAATTTAAGTCCTGCCCACAAAAGACAGAACTTTTAAAGGGTTACAAGGATATTAAAGATAAGATTGCAGAATGGCTGCATAGGCTGAATAGTCTCAGAGTCCTCCTTCTTGATCAAACTCAAGGTCAAGTTCTTTGCTTCTGCTATGATAGCTTCAGACCAGGAATTCAGAATAAGCTATCATATCAAAATGCCATCAACCAGAAATCTTTATTAATGGCCACTTTCACAAATTGGCATTACAGTGATAAGCACTGGAAGGTCCTGTGCTACCTTCTGGATCATCAAATAAAAGGCAAGTTCTATCTCTATAAAATATATGTCAAATGCATTTACCTATAGCCTCCTTCTTTGGAAAAGCAGGAAGGCAGAGTGAAGATGAAGTTAATGGAAAGGAGGACTTGAAAGATGGTCTACTTGCTGATGGGTAGTAGTTTGAAGTTGAAAGCCAGGCAAAGGGGTTCAGTAAGAAATAGGGAATAGGGAGCTATTAAAGCTATATATACCAGACAATGGCATCTCAGTGTTTATGAAAGAACCATCTGACAACAAAGTATAAGGTGCAAGAAATTGAAGGAGAGGGGTTGGGAGGGGGGAGAAGGGGTAGGAAGATGATAACAGAACCCAAGAGGCCACATGGAAGTTGTAGGTGGATTTGCGTGCTGGGCATCAAACAAAAGAAACGGTCCAAATCTTAAGATTTTTCAAAGGAAAAATCCACATAATTTTTATTTCTATCATTTCTTTATCTCTCATATCAGGTCAGCCATAGAGATATTTCTTAGGTTGCAATGCCTGGTAATTGGGAAAGACATAACCCCTGAAAGCAATAAAAAAAAAAAAACAAGCAAAAGGAAAAACTGTTTAAAAAGTTGCTCTTTCCTCTATTTTGCAAACACAGACAGGAGAAGAAGATGATGAAGTTATAGAAAACTAAAGAAATAGGGTGAATCTCATTTTGAGAGGTAAATGTTGAATCAGACCCTCTATATGCTGCTGATTGGTGTGTGTAAGGGCACAACATATTGGGAAAGCGACATATGTAATATATGTCAAGAATGAAAACCTTTCAAATGTTTGTACCTTTTGAGCCAGTCATCTGAATTTCTGGGATTCTATCTTAAATAATACGGGGGTGGGGGATGAAGCTTATGCAAAGATAACTATGACAGTATTATTTGTACTGGTGGAAACTTGGAAACAACCTAAGCATTCCACGATAGGGAAGGATTCTATAGAACACAGTAAGTCACGTTAGCTTAGTGGAATGTAGTTCACAGCAAAATTTATTATTATTATTATTATTATTTGGGAAAATGCTTGTGTTAAGTAAAAAAATATCAGGGATATAAT